TACCCTAGAGCACGGCCAGGCCAGAGCGTCCCTAGACAGTCACATGATCGAGGAGTCCTATCTCCCACTCCTAGGCCCAGCTGTCCTCCCCTACAGGTCCCCATAATACCATCAGAGCACTATGACACTATTTCTGAAATTGCCTTAATTCTGTGCATTCTCTTAGTGCCTGTCAAGACCTGTGGAAGGAAGAACTGTCCCTGTCGTGTTCACCACTGTGTCCCCACTGCCTGCTGGACACTAACTATTTGTTCACTGTCATTGAAAAGAAATTAGAATCCTTGTGTCCTATGGCCATGCCTCAGCTCTGCAAAGGAGAAAAGAAACAGCAGGAACGATGAAATAGAAATTCCTGCCAACGTTCTTCTTGATCCAAATTCAATATAAATAGCCTCTAGCTTTCTCAAGGAAGCCCACAGGTAATTATTCGATGTTTAGTCAAGGCTCCCCTTCTCTGCCCTTTCTGGTCTGGGCCCAGTCCCCCAACCCCCTAACTGTTGGCATAGCGCCTCCTCGGAAAACATCATTCTTCCTCTGAAGAAGGGTGACACAGCTGGGGACCCATGTGGAAAGGTTCTGTGGGGAAGGAGGATTCATACAACTTTCTATCTGCACCAAAGAATCTCGCATCCAGATCTTCTCTCCTTCCTGCACACCAAGAGAGACTAAGGAAAAGACTTCTTTCTTCCCCTTAAGCCATGGGTAATTCTCAGTTCAGAGTCACACAGGTTTTTCTTGCTCTTGGAAGCCAGGAGACAGCATGGAAAACTGATCAGAAGATACAAGGCTACCTTCCAGTGGGTGTCATCCACACTGCTTGGCTCTCTGAGGACTGGAAAAATTTGGGGGTGGGGATGGAATCGGGAGACAAGCGGCAGTAAAAAGAGAGAAACTGGAAAGAGGAAAGGAGCAAACTGAAAAGACTCTATCAGTGCAACATGCTTACTGATAAACCTCAGGCAACACAACCACTGAGGGTTTCCCCGAGGCTTGGCAGTGAAGAACCTGCCTGCAGTGCAGCAGATGTGGGTCTGATCCCTGGGTCGGGAAGATTCTCTGGAGGAGGAAATGGCAACTCACTGCAGCATTCTTGCCTGAAAAATTCCACAGACAGAGGAGCCTGGCGGGCTACAGTCCATGGGAGTCAGACATACACACACAAGTGTGTGCAGAACTGAGTGCGCACGCGTACACACACACACACACACACACACACACACACACACACACACAATACAGCCACTCACCCAGTCACCCAGTCACCTCTGCCACTCTGCTTTTCCTTAACATGGCCATGAAGCCTGAATTTTTGGTGGCTTAGATGAAAGTCTGTGTCCTCTTTCACATCCCCTCCACCCATTTTTGTTTCTCTAACTTTCCTTCTCTTTGTTGATCATACTGAGCCTTGTGTCTGCTCACTGCGGAGGCTGAATACCTCCATGTCGTCTCAAATGTAACCAACTCTTAGCCAGTGGGGCATCGCCTCTTGTTCCAGCTAGCCATTGGACTGAAGGAACACAAGCAATATTAAACACATATTAGTATCGGGTAACAGTTAGGCATTTTATCAGGTACCAGAAGATAAAACAAATTGTAAAAATATCTGCGCTTCTAAGATTCCCTGTGTTGCTGCTCTAGCTGAAGGCAGCAGCACATTGTTGAAGAGGCAGCGGTTGCATGCTGTCTGTAGGTCAGAAAACATGAATTATTCCATCAAGTTCTACCCTGTGGCAAGACTTTAGGCAAGTCACTTAATTTTTTTGGTCTGTTGAGAGTGAGAACGAGAGAGAGAGAGAGAGAAATAAAACTATGTTAGTGTCAGAAAAGTTATAAACCCCAAGTTCCATAAGGTGCCTTAGCGGCTATAGTTTAAAACAATCTATCCTAAAGATACTATCGATCCAACAGAAAATAAAGGGGAAGGGTCATATTCTAGGACACGATCTTCCCAATCTTACTTTATTTCACTTTCCAATCGGCAGAATTCAAGGGCTGGGAAAATTTCTTTATGTTCTTATTATTAGTCTGCAGGGGCCTGCCATGACAAAGCTACACTAGGCTGCCAGGTACCCTAGTGTGGTCTGCTGTGAACAGGCTGGCTTTTGCTGCCACCTGGATACTGATGCTCTTCTCTCAGCCTGTCCAGACAAACCGCTCAGCATTGCCTCTGTCTGGGGAGAGAGTCTCATGGCATAGCTCTTTGGTGTCTTCCTTTCTTGCCCTTTTACTCTTCTCACACGCGAGGGAGTCAGTGTCGGCACTGAGGGCTGAAAATCACTCATGGAAAGGTTGTTTCTGACGGCTGCTTCCCCAGCTCCAGGACCAGTACAACAGTAAGCTGCAATGTTGAAAAACATCAGGATACGTGTCTGTGATCTAAGGAAGCAGGGGAACGGCAATGGACAGCTGTGCCGGTGGTAGGGGTTCTGGTGTGGCCAGGGTCTGCAGCAACAGAAGCACCTGACATCAGAAGGTGACTTTCAACTATAGGTCTAAAACTGGGACTGGGAAAGAATCCGAGCCTTTGATATCTGATTCTGAGATGAAAGAACATACATGTTGACCTCTGGGAATGGGAGCTTTCTGGGAACTAGAAGTAAACAGTAGCAGCTACGAGCAAGGGTTTGGAAAATTGGGAGGAAAGTCTGGACTCTGCTCTTGGAAGTTTCTCAGGTTCCAGCTTATCTGGAGTTTCACTTTGTGAGAGAAGTGACTGAGCCAAGGGGAAAAACAGCATAGGAAGAGGGAAGAGAAGGCCCTGCTCACGTTCTGATGAGTGTCCTGGAGTGCTGCATTCTCTCAGGGGAAACACAGCAGTCGCCGCTGTGAAAGTGGCAAAAGGAAGAAAGCCAGCGGACCAGAAGAAGGTATTATCCAAAGGACAGTCATCAGAAACTGAACAGAAGGCAACGACTGAGCCACATGAAAGCAACTCAGCACTGCATCCTAACCAGGCTGTGTCTGACATCAAGAGGTGAATGTAGAAAATGGACAGGGTTGGCAGGTAGACTGCAGCAGCCTCTCCAGATATAACAACACATTGCCCTCCATAGGCACTCATATTCTGGCAAATACCATCATATACATGGACTCTTTTAATGTGAGACAACTAATTTACTGAACACCCATTATTAGAATAAGCACTGTACATACATTATTTAATCCCAGTATTAATATCATTTTCAAAAAAGAAAATGATTTTTACTTATGGAGAATGAGTAAACTATTCAATGTTATTCAGCTAGTAAATGGTAGAGCCAGTACTGAACTCAAAGCCTATGAGATAAGAAAGTGAACTCTAGAAGTACAGAGAACATGTAAGGCAGCTCTCCCTGCTGGTAAAGAAAATAAAACATGGGCAATGTACAGATATCTAGATAAAAATTCCTCCCTTATTTCTTTCAATCATAGTCTGGACTCCAAGTCACTAATTTATAACACTGGCTAGGGGCCAAAACTTCTTAGAACTGGCAAAAAATATGATGTGGCTTCCAAGAAAGGGTCAGAAATGGTACACCTCAAGAGGTTGAAGGTATCTAAAGGACAAACTCTTTGCTCTATCTCAAGCTACTCAATCAAGGCCTGCCTGACTGATAGGGCCAAGCAAGGACCTGTAGCAGAGATGCTGAAACTAGGCAAAAAGGAGCAAATTAGTACTATCTCCGTTTCAATGAAATAAAATTACCATGGCTCACTGGGCAATTGGGCTGAGCCAGGTAAGCATGAAGCTGGATTTTTCATTCTCTTTAGAGAATAGATTAAGAAGAACTATACTAAAAGTGCATCAGATAGGGTTGAAAAAGTCATCAATAATTTCCTGAAAGAAAACTGAGTAACCCAAAGGTATAGTGGGTAAATGCTCTACGTTTTGATTTACCATCCCGTTTCTAACTGTGTACCATAGAGAAGTACTACATTAGGTAGATGGACTCATCTACTCTTTTTTCTACTATACTGTAAGACTGGGGTAGGGAAGAATCATATCTTCAACCTTTTGCAATCGAAGACTGATACTGAGTTAGGGACTTGATTATTTACTGATAAACACAGCTCTAACATAAACATTTATAAGAGACATTTCCCCCTTCTGCACAGTGATATAGAAAGAGAAGGAAAGGATGATCTTCAGAGAATACCACAGTCACTAAACCTCATCTCTGGGAAAGAAATAATGTTTCTCTCCACAGCCTGACATCTTTTCAGTGCTTTGGAGACTGCTTTGCCCACCAGGCACAGATATAGCAGCAAGGTATCCAGAAACATTCCTTCTCTAGAAGCAGACAGAATAATATATCTTAACACAGGGCGCCTTCCCCCAACCCCCACCGCTGGCATGGCCTTTACCTTCCACAGGGTTGGTTTTCAGTCTACTGCAGAGATTCATCACTCCCCCGTAGTGGACGTTGATCTGGTCTATTGCATCACTTGAACGGAGCTCCATCAGCTTCCTCAGGTCCATCACTGTGCAGCCAAACTCCCCTTCACGGCTCTCAAGAATCGAGTTGGCCGGCAAGGTGTGTTCTGTTGGGTTCGTCATTTTGCCTGCTGTTACCAAGCCCCTCAACAGAGAAAATGTGAAATCTCCCTTCCACTGATCAGGGTCTCTCGTTTCTCTTCCTCACTTCTTACTTCTTTCTTCTCTGAGAGTCCAGATGCGAACAAGACCGACTATATCTCGTGCAGGAAGCTTCAGAGCAGCAGCCTGTGGTCCAAGTCCTTTTGTGTGTATGAAGCTTGGCAGCCAAAGGAGGAAGAGGATAGGGGAACTGAGTGTAGGCCGGACCACGTGTTACGATGACTGGTGTCCCCAGGTGGTGATGGAAGCAGTTGTCCGGGGTAGGTAGGTTCCTAGTTTAGACCAACTTTCCCAGATGGCGGTATAAACAGGATGTGCATGTTACCATGGAGGCAACCTTAGCAACAAGCAGCAACTGCAGTGGCAGAGTGGTGGCAGGACAGGAGAAAGAGGAGGGCTCCCTGGAAACCGACGCCAACGGGGCCTCTGGAATAAAGATTCAAAGGCAGACACAGAGAGACCATTAGAACAGCATGGGATCCGGCAACCGCAAGGACAAGAGGTACTCATTCTAGCACAAGGGTTAGGTGACAGTTGATATCTGAGCTGAACTGATAGCTGAGGCCTAAGCTGAGTAGACTGACTTAGGAGAGGCCCCTTCTTCCCTGGGGGGCCCCAGCAGCCTGTAAACTCCAATGTAGAGAAATAACTTCAGACACACCCCGGCCTTCATACCGCACCTCTTCTAAACCAAGCAACACAAATCCCAAAACTTGAGAAACTTGGAAATAAAGGGTTATATAACCTCTAATGGCTCTCCCTTGTCTATTTGAGGGGCCTGCAACAGAATGCTTTAGTCTGTTTTAATCTTTTAATCTTAGAATGTTTTAATCTTACCTCTAAGAGGTGAGAAGAGATCAGGAAAGGAGTCCAGACTAGAGTGATCTGGAGGGTAGCCTGCCGGTCTGCCAGTCTCCTCCAAACCTGCACCCTACCACACTCCTAACACATGTACAAACCAGGAGGGCAAACTGGGAGAAGACGTCCACATCCCCTGCAGCCCCTCAGAACGCCTGGCCTGACACTGTATAGAAATTCTGCAACCTGATGCTGTAGATCAGTAGATCAGGTATAAAGCTCAGATCTTGGAGTTTAAAAAGTGTTGGGGAGACAAGGGTGAGTAAACAGCTCCGGCAGTGGGCAATGCAGGGTGGAACCTTTACACATAATGGGAACAGAAGGACTTTTGAGGAGGAAAGAGAGTTTGAAGCTTGTGAGTGTTCACGTTTCTCTGAGATTGCAGGAATATGGCAGCTATCAATTCAGCTAGAGCCTAAGGCCACAGCAAGGTCAGCAGGGGAGCAAAGTAAGCCTGTGTGTGAGTGACAACAGAGGGTCTCAGGTCAGCAGTTCTCCTCTCGGGAAGCCATGTGTCACCTCACACATGCTGACTAGGGAGAGGGACGGGTGGGAACCGGGAGGATGAAGGAGAGAAAAAGGCTTATCCTAAGCCCTGTTCTCAGCTTCAGGCAAGAGGACTACCACACACCAGCTTCTTAAATGCACAGGGGATCTTTCTGAACATGGCACCAGAGCATTCAGGGCCCAGCCCTGGTCAGCCCCTCTTTAATACATGGATGACGTCCTTGCTTCTAGACGATGAACAAGAAGTACAAGGGTCATCAGATAAGGGCTTGACTACTTCATCAATTATTTTTCCAAAAATCACATGTGGCCAAAGTTCCTACTAATTCTAATCAATCCTGCTCTTGGCAGATTCCGCTGGGATGGAGGCAGTTACACCCCTCCCTCTCCCGGGATGCCCGCAGCTTACTCCTTCCACTGTGAGTTTTAGAGCTACCCTGACTTATAAAGCGTTTTGTTTTGTTGTTGCTGCTATTGTTTTTCAAACACCGTGCTCCCTTTTCTTTTTAGATGCCATTCCTGGGGAACAAGGAGAGAAGCCGAGCCAATGTGTCACACTCTCTTCAATCCTCCTGGCACACGGACAGGCAGTGCCACAGACATTTCCCTCCAATTCGGTTTCTTCTCCAAGCCTGGAAGCAGTGGGAAGGGCTACAGCAGCAGGAAGCCCATTTGACCCTTAAGTAGAACTCCTTAACCTTTGAAGAGGATGTTGAGGACAGTGCTGATTGACAGCTTAACTGGAAATTATAACCTTTTTTTTTTTTCATTTCTACCACCTACTGCCATGTTTGTTTCATGAAGGCAGAGATTTTTCACGTGTCTTGCTCAATGCTTTCTCCCCAGTGCCTAGACAATCACCTACACAGAGCAGGCATTCAGCTAATTTTTTTGGCTGAATAACTCATAGTAGATTCAGAACCAGATTTACCATCTTCCTAAGAACCTTTTGAGCATGTCACTTAGCTTTCTTAGAGCTCAGTTTTTTTAGGGCTCAGTTCCTCCCACCTTTATCTGCGAGAAGAAATTGATAAATGAATGGCATTATAAACAGAAATAGTACCTGGAAATCTTAGATGAAAGATGACCAGTGTCCTGTATAGGACACTCAAGTGATGTGAAAAGGTTAATTTGATCTTAATGAACTTTTGTTATCTAGTCCTTTATGCAGAAGAGCAATAATCTCCATGTGGCCCTCCATCTTTTCTTGTGAAAGCAAACACCCACACCTCTGAACGAGTGGAAAATTCCAAGCAGCATCATTAGCTAGGTTATAACCATTAGCAACAACCACTTCATGGATCACAGCCTTGCTGTGGTAAAGGGGCTTGCATAACTGAATGAAGCTGTAAGTTATACGGTGCAGGGCCACCCAAGACAGACAGGTCATGGGGAAGAGTTCTGACGAAACCTGGTCCGCTGGAGGAGGAAATGGCAACCTATTCCAGCATTCCTGCCGCAAAAACCCTATGAACAGTGTGAAAAGGCAAAAAGACATGACATGGGAAGATAAGCCCCCAGGTCAGAGGGTGTCCAATATGCTACTGGGGAAAAGTGGAGGGCAATTACTCATAGCTTCAGAAAGAATGAAGCAGCTAGGCCAAAGCAGAAACGATGCTCAGCTGTGGATGTGTCTGGAGGTGAAAGTAAAATCCGATGCTGTAAAGAACAATACTGCATAGGAACCTAGAACATTACATCCATGAATCAACTTTGAATGTGGTCAAACAGGAAATGGTAAGATTGAACATCAACATCTTAGAAATCAGTGAACTAAAATGGATAGGAATGGGCAAATTTAATTTAGATGACCATTTTATCTCCTACGGTGGGCAAGCATCCCTTAGAAGAAATGGATTAGCCCTCATAGTCAACAAAAGAGTCCAAAATGCAGTACTTAGGTGCAGCCTCAAAAACAACAGAGTGATTTTGGTTCATTTCCAAGGCAAACCATTCAACATCAGAGTAATCCAAGTCTATGCCCCAACCACTGATGCTGAAGAAGCTGAAGTTGACTGGTTCTATGAAGGCCTACAATATCTTCTAGAACTAACACNCAATTGGAAAAACCATAGCTTTGACCAGATGGACCTTTGTTGGCAAAGTAATGTCTCTGCTTTTTAGTACATTGTCTAGGTTTGTCACAGCTTTTTTTTCCAAGGAGCAAGTGTCTTTTAATTTCATGGCTGTAGTCACCATCTACAGTGATTTTGGAGAAGAAAATAGTCTGCCACTGTTTCCATTGTTTCCCCATCTATTTGCCATGAAGTGATGGGACTGGATGCCATGATCTCAGTTTTTTGAATGTTGAGTTTTAAGCCAGCTTTTTCACTCTCCTCTTTCACTCATCAAGGGGCTCTTTAGCTCCTCTTTGTTTTCTGCAATAAGGGTGGTGTCATCTGCATATCTGAGGTTATTGATATTTCTCCCTGCAATTCTGACTGAGCTTGTGCTTCATCCACCCTGGCATTTTGCATGATGTAATCTACACAGAACTTAAATGAGCAGGTGACAATATACATCCTTGATGTAATCCTTTCCCGATTTGGAACCAGTCTGTTGTTCCATGTCTGGTTCTAACTGTTGCTTCTTGACTCACATACAGGTTTCTCAAGAGACCGGTAAGGTGGTCTGGTATTCCCATCTCTTTAAGAATTTTCCACAGTTTGTTGTGATCCACACAGTCAAAGGCTGTAGCATGGTCAGTGAAGCAGAAGTAGATGTTTTTCTAGAAATCTCTTGCTTTTTCTATCATCCAACGGATGTCAGCAATTTAATCTCTAGTTCCTCTGCCTTTTCTAAATTCAGCTCGATTCATGTAGTGTTGAAGCCTAGCTTGGAGAATTGTGAGCGTTACTTTGCTAGCGTGTGAAATGAGTGCAATTGTGTGGTAGTTTGAACATTCTTGACATTGCCTTTCTTTGGGATTGGAATGAAAAACTGACATTTTCCAGTCCTGTGGCCACCTTGCTTATTTAACTTATATGTGGAGTACATCAAGCGAAATATCAGGCTGGATGAATCACAAGTTGGAATCAAGATTGCCAGGAGAAATATCAATTAACTCAGATATGCAGATGATACCACTCTAATAGCAGAAAGTGAAGAGGAACTAATGAGCTTCTTGATGAGAGTGAAAAACCTGGCTTGAAACAACATTCCAAAAACTAAGATCCTGGCATCCAGCTCCATCACTTCATGGTGAATAGAAGGGGAAAACGTGGGGGAGCAGTGACAGATTTTCTTTTCTTGGGCTCCAAAATCACGGTGGATGGTGATTGCAGCCATGAAATTAGCGTATTAAAAGTGGAGATGTCACTTTGCTAATGAAGGTCTGTATGTAACGTCAAAGGTATGATTTTTCCAGTAGGCATGTAGGTGTGAGAGCTGGACCAGAAAGAAGACTGAGTGCTGAAGAACCGATGCTTTCAAATTGTGATGTTGTAGAAGACTCTTGAGAGTCCGTTGGACTGAAAGGAGATCAAGCCAGTCAATCCTAAAGGAAATCAATCCTGAGTATTCATTGGAAGGACTAACGCTGAAGCTATATATAATATCTTGGCCACTGATGTGAAGAGCTGAGTCATTGGTAAAGACCCTGATGCTGGGAAAGATTGAAGGCAAAAGGAGAAGGGTGTGGCAGAGGATGAGTTGGTTAGATAGCATCACTGACCCAGTAATGTGAATTTGAGCAAACTCTGGGAGATACTGGAGGACAGAGGAGCCTGGCGTGCTGAAGTCCATGGGTGGCAGGGAGTTGGCCGTGACTTGGCAATGGAACAACTACTACAATGCAGCCTTGGACCTCTAGGGAAGTAGGGGCAGTCTGAAGAGATCAGAGAGGAGAGTCTTCCACTCACACAACAACCAATGCGAAAAGGTCAGTTAAGATCAAAACACATAGGGCAAGTAGAAAAGAGTGAAGCCTTTCTGCCTCAGGCTGCCCTTGAGATATACACACAGGTCAGGCACTAAGCTGCTGGCACGAAGTCAAAGGGGTGCTGCCTGCTTGGGGCCCCTTTTTAGCCAGGCTCTCTGCGAAAGTGCTTCTGGAATTTGGAGGCATAGCAGGAGCCAATACTTCTCTCTTTCTGCAACTGAGCTTGCCTAGCCCCTAACCTTATTAGGCAACTGGCAAAGAATGATCTGTAAGTGCTCACGAAGCCTCAGCCCCGGACGCAATGCTCTGATGCCTGGGAGGCCACCACCTCCCATCAGGTCAGGATTAGTCATTCTGCTCAGGGCTTTCTGGGTAAGGCATGTTCTCACTCCCCATTTCTAGCATTTTGCCAGCCTAATGACGACAGGATGGAAGAGGGAATTTTCAGCCCTTTCTGCGGGGTCAAGAAATCCTACTACTTACATGACCATTAAATCATTTTAATTTTTTTCCTCCTAAAGTTCTGTCACATTTGTTGGACAGCTTATAATGACCCATGACAGGATTTGGCATACCGATTTTAGGCAGGACGGCTCTGACTCCCACCATACAGATGAAGACGCTGAGATTCAAAGCCATAAAAAATGACTTGTTCTTTGGCAAGTCAGTGGCCTTAACTGCACAGTCCTCTTGTTGTACCTTGCTCCTCCCCTCCAATCTGGGCCTCTGCATTTTCTGACAAATATCTAACAGGTTCTTTACCACCACTTAGAGGAAGTACTGACCCTCACACTTGCTCTTTCTCTTTCAGAACCAGCTCCCTCACATTCCAGACAGTGAGGATCAGATATCCTCTCCAGTTCCTACACATACCTGAGAAGCAGAGCATCCTACACTTCCTGATAACCCAATTTGCAGCTAACCTCCCTAGCAAGTTCCAAAGCGAGGAGCTGCCAGAGATAAAAAACTCAAGTCTTAAGCCACAGACGCTGTTTCCTCCAATTTTGTCAAGAAATCCCTTACTCGTAGAAACCTTCCTGGGGCGCATCCTCAGAACACAAGGAAAAAGGTAACTTCCCATGTAGGGGACAAAGTAGGGTATTTTGAGGATCTGAAAGGAACCCACTCCCTGAATCTCCGCTGCCAAAGGCTGCTAATGAATCTGGCATGATGCATGGGAAATGAAGTATGAATGGAAGCAGGAGAAAGGGGCCGGCAGGGGGCCGCGGGCCCAGGCTGCAGGCTGGCAACCGCACCGAGACCTGCCGGGCATGGTAAGGAGCTCAGCTCCGGCCTCTGGGCTGTGGGCAGCTGCTAGGATGGGGCGGGGGCGGGGGGGGGCTGGGCACAGAACAGGCTCGTGACACCTTAAAATGCACCAAACTGAGCATGAAACCTGCTTCAGGCCCACCCTTTCCCATTCTGGGAGAAATGATTCATGTAAGTACACACGTGTTATTACTGATACATAAACAGCAGCCTAGCATAGCAGCTGTTTTGTAGCGGTTGGTCCATACATAGTAGTTATTCTCATTATTCCACATATTGTTTCTCTGAAGCTTCATTAACAGCCTTGTAAGGAGGGCACACCATTTTATAGGAGGGAAATACAGATTCTGAGAACAAGGATTTGTGTCCTAGGCTGGATCCAAAGCCACCCTGCCTCAAGTACAAGGTCAATCCTCTACAAAAACGGAAACACAGCTACAGGTTTACTTCCTCAAGTTGACGAGAAGCCCACATAAGCCTAACTACCCACCCCGGCCCAGAACCCCTAAAGCCTCTGCCACACGTCAGGGAGACACTTCCTCACCTCTGCCAGCTTCCTGGGCAACCGCAGCAGGAGGTCACAGCTCATGAGGGGCTGACACCCTCCACTGCAGCCCTGCCCCCACAAACGCATGCCCCGGCCAGAATGCCCTTGGCTCCGGATGGCATGACTCCAAGTATATCCAGTTCCCACTCAGAGGCTGAAGGAGCGGGCTGGGGGCTCCCTGCACTCCATCACCTCACACTCGGGCATCAGCCCTGGCATGGGGAGAGGCACAGAGACACCTCTTCTCTTCTGACTCCCACAGGGGCACTTCCCTGCAGTGTCTGAAGCTTCACTCTCTGTCTCGTCGCTGGCATACCTCTAAGAGGCCTTTCATGAAAGCTGGCAAGCACCTGCACATGGC